GCCTTATGTGGGACAAGACCCTGTTTGGTAGATTCTGGACCAAAGCCTGGCCCGGAGGGACAGGGCTTGCAAATGACCGAAACTGGCCAGACAAAAAACAATGTTGCATAGGGCTACGCCAGGCTAAGCATAGCGACGACCGATTCCACGACTCTCAGAGGCTGGGATGGTGACACCACGGTCGCAAGATACATCTTGGAACTTCTTTGCACATGCCCTTGACTCCAATGCTCAACGTGTGACCCCAGGGACTCTCCACCCTCTGCTGAAGACCCGCCTACCACCAACTAGGATCTCGGCTGGATCTCTGGATTCTTTCATGGGGCCATCGAAAATGACCCGGTACCTGTGGTCTAGCATTGAAGCTGCAGGGCGACATGAACGGTTCCACATGCCCATGATTGGAACAGAGGTCCATTACCAGTGCAGACTGGTCACCACTTAGAGAATGCAGATACGAATGAAGTCTCGACATGGACGAAGTGGAATCTGCTTCCTTTTTATCCATATTGAGGCCCGTGCTGGTCGGTTGGGCTCATCTCCTGTGCATCCGATCGTCAAGAGCCATTTAGCTTGGATCTTGTGGTGCATATGCTCATGCATAATTAGACATCGGGCCAGCCAGTGTGTGGGTGTAAAATTTCGAAGGCAAGGTGCAAGCTCCGACCGCCGCTCCTGGAACACACCACGTGCCTTTTCGTTCAGGTGAGCGTAGTTTTTGACCAGAAAGCTATCCCGCTCCTCAAGATTCATGGAGAAAGGCCGATCCCCGGCCTCTACCATGCCAGTGGACCGGTAAGACTGTATTTGTCATCGGTAATACTTCAGAGGCACTGCACACATGCATGAACAAAACTCTAGACTGTAGAAATGTATTGCCCTCAGTATTGTCGCAAGTCGCAAGTGTGTAATCATCTGCGCACGCATGCATGATCGAATGCACGCACCTATGAACATATGTGGTTATGTACGTATGTCCGTATGTATGTATGTATATATATATATATATGGTATCCCCCCCCAAAGATCTACCCGATTCTGTCTGTTTTGAGCTCTTCGTGTATAATCCCTGCCTATTTGTTCTTCATGTCGTCTGTATCTTTGTCTTCCCACGTGAATACCCCAACATATAGCAACCAAACACACACCCACCCACGCACGCAAGGTCTGTGGAACTTCCCAGTACTATGGCCTGGATTGAAACCG